CATTTGCTTGATTTCAAAGAGCAGAATCTATTCTTTATTCAATAACAGTGTTTTTTGTTTTATCTAACCAAAGTAACCTAGTTAATAGCCGCCATGTGCAGCAATAACCTTGATAGATATTTTGAAACAGTGTTAAGGAGTACGTAACGTAATATTCCCGCAGTTCACAGCCTTTCTCGTGGATACAAAAATAAAGGAAGTTCCTTTTGCTGGTTCGGTCAGCTTCCGAGTCCTCACCGAACCCAAAAGTTCAGAAGGATACTTATCCACTTGAATCAGAGTATAGGCATAAAATTTGGCAATGTTATTGGCCTCATAGCCGAAACGATCGGGTATACCAATATTTATTAATTTAATTCCATACAGGACCCTTGATAGTCTATGAGATAGAACACCCCAGGAGTACTCGTTCTTTCACCATCAGCGCGACTGGAGAACGACCCTGCTTTACTGGCCTCTGAACTCGCAAGCAACCGAAATTGTGTTAAGTGCAAAGGTAGTCCAAAAAAGTCTTCAGCCTCAACATAAAAATGGTATTACTCGCCAAAAGTATTAGTAACACAATTGCGAACGCGTCCCGTGAAATGTCATCGATGTTAGATGCCCAGTTGTCGCTTAGCGGCTGTTTGCGTCAGTGGTCAGATTTGTCTAAAAAAAAAAAAAGGTTTCTGTAAATGGCAAAGATGACACGTAATTTTGGCATTTGAAAAGCAACATGCATACGCAAATCAAAATCAAGGTAATCACTATTACGAAGCATTCTGTACTGTCGATGACCACCATGAATTTTGGCTAACCGAACTTAGACATGACTGTATTAGCCTGTTTGATGATGAATTTGTGAGACGCCCGGAAAGGTAACATTGGAAAATTTTGCTAATAGTCCTTGGCGAGCGACGACCCAGAGCTACAGGGACCGCGGAAGCCGTAAACAGAACGGAAAGACCGCATGCTCTAACTGAGAATTTGATTTAAAAAAAAACCTAACCACTGCGTTTGCTCGCCTTCGGATAAAAACGCATTAGAAAAAAACATTTCCAAAGGCTTTCTAAACCGTTATACTAAAGAAAAAATACTATAACACCGTCGAAACAGTAGGCTGCGGCCTGTTGTAGGAACGAAATGGCAATGACTTTTTGAATAGTTGTGTTAATCAACTGTGGAATAATAAAATCACAGAGAAAGCACATTACACGTCATTACATAATTATTTGAACGTAAAGTTGCCGATCGTGCCTGAGGGAAAATTTGTTCTACCTAGACAGCGCATTATCTTATGGGTCAGTAGCCCATATCACACGCTAAACGCAAAAATTTGCACCAGAAGATCATCAGGAAACAGCAAGCAGCGTCCTAAAGTTGGCAACTTGAAGGGAATTCGAAGATAGTTGAATCTGCGAATGTACCAACAGCCATTGCTTCGTGACCTCGTTCTTTTCAAGCACAATAGCACACCCATTCAGCTATCCGCTACTTTCCAAACGGCGAACTTTTCCGCCCACTGATGAAACGACGCGTAGATTTTGACGACGGCTTCGCAAACAGAGTTAGGAAAAAGCAGTAACCTATCTTTTCCAAACTTCCTATCACTGGCAACCACCGAACAGCAGATATGTCGTCCTCAGACAGCTTTCAAAAGGGCCCGAAAGAGGCCATCAATCGTCTAGGAGCAAGATAGGTTGAGAGCAGGCCACCAAGGAGGCTAAACAAATGGTGGCTAAGCAGACCACCTGGCCTGGATATGTTTGTTCTCTTACGATTCTTTCATGACTATAAATTAAAAGCACCTATTGGTGATGCCTCCCTGGTTGAATGCTTATGTCTTTGTATTCAAGTCATTAGCGCTGGTTAATTTTATACTTCAAATAAATCGATTTTCCTTGCGTACCGCGTAGCATTATACAAATTCGATTTACGTGACCGATGCACCTGGCCACGATTTATCTCGAAGCGTTCGTTTATAGCTCGTTACAGTTTACAGAGCATTCTGTGTGTCGAGTCTAAAACTAAAACACCAATACGTTATAACATCATTCGGAAACGAATATGCCAGTGAAAAATAAGCGCACGTAAACAAAGTGTTTGTCTTAGGACTTTTGTAGCAGCCGAATAACGGACTGTGATAAAGGCATCGTACCTGGCGGACACAAGCACTTGCGAAACCTTCCAACCCTCCAATTATTACTATTCACACCTTCTTGAGGTATATCCGACTTCAGATTCATATAGGATTTACTATCCAAAAGGATGCTCTCTACACGCGATCTGCCCTATATAGTGCATCGGATCCTGCGTTCCTTTTACCGAGGAACAGATGCAGCTATGTCTTCCTTTATACGTGTGGAATTGGCGCAAGTACCCTCATAGTGGGAAGATCAAACATATCTGCTTCTCTCTTGGGCGCACCATTTACATCACTGATAACGTTGGGCCCTGTCTTTGTGTACTGCACACATGTAAGCATCGGCACCACTAAGAAAAATGACCCATTTTCTAAAAGCAGCAACAATACCAGAGTGGACAGTAGCAATTTTTTTTATCGGAACTACTTTGCCTGCCCGCACGCAAAGAATACGTGTCTTGTCTCTACGTGGACGAACAAGCGCTCGGCTTGTTCGATGACGCCGCAGCGCATTGTAGAATATTGAGGATCGCGCTTCATTAAATCGCTGCTGACGTAACGACAAAAGAGCAGTTATGAGAACTATAAGGGTTACGGCAAGATTTAATTAGACATAAAACACGAAGCCTACTCTGACAGTACCTCGCAGATACGTGCGTGTACTTAGATCCGTACCCTGTGTATATAACGCAAACAATGCTTTTACACTTCATACGGCCTACAAACTATTTAATAATATGGTAGAACTACCGAGTGTAGTTAAGAACTGGCGCAGTATCATCTCACACGGATAGGTTGGGTGATTCGCATATAATTCATGCACGATGGTATCTTTCGCTCGAGGTAAACGGCGCTTAGCGTGTATGTAATGTATGTAACAAGAAGAGTGGCGAGCAGCAGTAACATTTCATAATGACGGCAACCTGATGTTAACTTATGCACGCATCTATTCGGGTCGTCAGAGTGGATTAATTTTTGATGTTTTAATATTTATAAAATAATTTAGAGATAATTTTGAATGTTTCATCATTTATAATAGTAAAATGATGATGTAGATTATTTATGATTAGAATAAAGCTGCTTACAGTTATTTAACGTTTCCTAAGACAAACCGCTGTCAGTGTTAAGAGTTACCTGACAAAATGTGTCAGACTAGGGTCAAGTTCTTCAGACGTAAAAATTTGTTGTTTTCTGGGCTCGGTCTACGGGACACTTGTTACGTTGCCCCTTTGTGTCAGCGTGACCGTGAGGGTTGAGTGCTATTTTCACGTGACCTCGGTGGCTAACGTGGCGACGTCAACGGAAACGGCACAGAAGCTGCACCTCTGATCAGTCAGTTGTCAAAAGACTACTTCGCAAAGCGTGGAAGGTCTGCCAACCGGAGGCGAACCTCTGGCACCCTGTGCGACTATCTCGTTCGCATCCCAGTTCACTCCGTTATCGTCCTGCTCGTAATACCTATTGACGAAGTTGCTATTAAGTGCACATATACAAATCCACACACTTTTCTTTCATACCTATAGTAGGCCGATCAATTTCCAGAAACCGACATGCATGTCATACCCCGCAGACACGTATGATCTGTGCAACTAGCTATATATTACTAAGACTCCTCGCTGAAGCAATGTGATAGATCTATCGTATTGTTCCAGTGAGGATTTTTAGTGAATTATTATAGAGTAATTCAAGTACTCTATAGCTTTGGCTTTCTTGGCGGCTTAATGGTTTACGACTCCGCGAAATAATGTTTGATTTTATGCAAGATACAAGCCTTCGGTGCACGACAATCATCACATAAAAGGTCTGTATTCGTAAGCGCACTGCATCCATAGGTCCTGCAACACTTAACTGCACTTAGTATTCATCGCGCATTTCACTATTTTTAATTATGGAAATTATCTTACAGTTGGTTTTTTTCTTAGACAAAAAACTGAGCAAAACTACTACAAGTCATGCTTAAACGCCTTATAAATGCAGTACCTATTTTTCAATCTCTCAACGTCCATAGCCAATCGTAAACGCATCTACACATCCGAAATCACATCGCAACAGAGTTACTACCTGGTTTTCTTTGGACCGGTGTTTAATAGCTCCTATATTGATACATCAATTGGGTATTTGAAGAAGTTGAACGAGATCAAACGAATGTAAGAAAAAAAGTTGTGCCTGGACGGCAACGTGCATCTCAGATAAGGGTGCACATCAGTTACCGGGGTCCGTTTATGCACCTTATCAGGTACGAAGTTTATGTTAAATGGTTCGATAACTTCTATCTAAATCTGCGCTTGCATTCTGCACTTTCAATTCTTAAAGGCTAGACGTATCCAACCAGCCAAATTGCATATAATGATACATGTGTTAAATATTGCGCTATGGTGACACTATAAAACTAGCAACTATAAGCCTTTGCGGCGCTAATTTAACTACATCAAATCAGGACAGCTGAAAGGACCGGAAGTCTTTCGGCTTCGATCAGTGGTCGCTTACCAAGTCGGAGCTTCTTCATTAGGATAGTTTTTACTACCATACACCTAGGCATATCTCATACTTTATACGTTTTTTTATAATATGTTATACTATATATATATATATATTAAATAATGTTTTGTTTTTCTAAAATGTTAATTTATTACTGTGTTTAGATGTTACCTTGTTTATTTTTAGTTATACTGTAATGGCTAATTATCTATAAAGGCACGCCAAAAACTTGTCGGAATATCCCTGCAAAAGCGTATAACAGTTTTAGTCAGCCATTCGTCCAATAAACAGCGTTATCTCAGGAGTATTTGATTCTCGCTTGATTGTCTTGTTCCACACACAAACTATAGTATAAATGACGTAGTTGCGCTGAATACTGAGTATTACCTATTAGACTTACCAGTATTGTTTAATAATGTGTGCCCATCTTGAGATTCAGGTAGTACTCCGGAGGATTGCTGGCCCAGAGCGAATAAGGACACAGCGAACGCCAGAGATAATAGGACGTGTAACGTCCACATTCTTGCCGCAGGTCCACTAGATAACGCCACTTCGTTAAGTTATGTTAACTAGCAAGTAGGTCCATCCGACGATATCGAGACAGCCTAGTTGAAATCGAACATCTTCACTGTAAAATTACAAAATATGAAGATTAGGGTGTTTAAAATAGTAACAGAAACTATAAACAAGGACAAGGTGCAAAATAACACAGGAATATACTGGTATTCTCAAATTAATATGCAAAACTAATTTTACTCAGGACAGGGAAACTCCACTGAAAGATTGTGCCACCTGCCAGTGCTAGAAGATAGTAGGACAAATGACAGTCTGTTCAGAATTACGATATCGTTCGTTTCCATAAAAAATGCCTCATCCACTAAACGTAAATTCAGTTTTTTTGGATGCCACTATAAGCAAACGATATGCCAATCATCCCGTACGTATAGATAACTTTGCATGACATAAATGTATTTTAGAATCGATCATCTTGGATGTTTGTTACTTATCCGACAAATAAAGGCCCACAGTGAAATTCCATCCAAGAACTTAACCAGACAGACTTGAGTTGCATAATTGTAATTAAATAAAAAAAAAAGTAAATAAAAAAAAAGGTTTACTTTTGCTTATCACTAGTTGTGTAACATCGGAGCCGGATTACGGATTAACCGAGCTACAAACACGTAATCCGTAAAGGATAATTGTCTAATTTACGTATCATATTATAAGCACCATAGCCAGAGAGACATTAGAGGTCATCAAATAAATGGGCCGCTATTGCAAATCTAATGCAGATGGTCACCGTCGTCGAGGCGTGTACCCACCCGTTCGAACTGAATTTGGCGCACGTTTGGCAGTATAAGCTCTAACATTAATGTAAGTTAAGCAACCACAACTTAATATGCCTGGCCTAGAACGAACACTACCGGATTCGATACCATTTACCATTTTATTGCATAGCTATTTTGGTGGGAGCTGAGTTGTGTGTAATCTTTAGTGCGTAAAGCAAGTCGTCCTTATATAAAAATGCAGATGCAGACTCTTATCGGCTTCCACAATTGCGACAGCGTTAAACATTACTGCTCTGTAGGTGTGTCCTCGTAATACGCTATGATACAATAGTGGAACGTTTCTCCGAGCGTTCTCGTCTATGTCTATCCGATTGACGGATACAAAAAACTTGTTCTAGAGTTAACTTACTTATACATGTATACACGCGAGAACATATATCGCCACCAGTGTAGACCCGCTGGGACCCAACGTGAATTTTACGTTAGAATGCAAATAATGCCAATAGAAAAGTGGCCCATCCCTATACAAATAACCAGATGTATAATACCTTTGACTGTTTGAAATTTTCTTGAATAACAGCTATAATAAAAGAAACCTTACTGCATTCGAATCAGTCAATGAGTGCAAAGCCTAGTCATTTACTATACTATGTACGCAAGTGATAGCTCAGGTTGGAGTAGTCTCAATTATAGACCCTCAGGCCAACAGTGAATGAGTGAGTGAGTGAGTGAGTGAGTGAACAATGAGGACGGAATTGGATTAGCCACGTATATCCGAGTTAGGTACGAACAAGCTTACTGCTAACTTTGTCGATTACTGAAACCGCACCAGAGTGATGGGATAAAGCCCGTAATCTGTGATACATCTCCGATGTAAACTCGGCAGGCGCATCGTATAATCGGAATAGCATTGGTCAATATACGGACTAGCTACTGAGAATTAACTTGATTCAAATAACCTGAACCCACTCATAGACTAGCTATTTCTACATACTTTTGTTCTGGCTGGTAGTTCAATCGTTAAAAAACTTTTATGGAACTGAAATCAAGCGTGTACGCTACACCCTAAAAAGTATGTCTATAAAGTATGACAGTATAGAAAGGAATGTTTCGGTTTACTATGGAGTGGTCCAAAAGAGTTGGGGGCTCGTTCCATTAAAACATACACACATCAAAGCTTATTTTGTCGCGTTTTGTGTTCTTGCTATCGTTTAATATCCGTATTTTATCTAAGCTCTGATCAGTCACTGTTAGTGTCTAATAACCGTTTAGGTTCGTACCGAGTGCGCAACCTCGTCCGAAGGTTATTTCCTATTATACATAAGATAATGGAGCGACAGGGATATGTACTCGTATAGAGTAACGAATATCGACGAACTACCTTCGTATCATTTGCCAAGGTGAAGCATCCCGATCCAAAGCCTCCTGGCTCCTTTCGGCTTGGCTTCGTAAATAAGATTTTCAAATCCCTTCTTGAAATAGTAGTGTGCCTACAATTCTATAGAGGCCTAGGTTATGCATAAGTTTATGCACCTGGCTAGTGAGTCGACAGAAAATGCAACGAGGTTTCCGCAAACGACGCCTCTAAAAAAATGTCCAAAGCATCCCGTGCTAGGAAATATACCTTACACGAAACACAAAGTATCTTAATTATTAATTAGAACAAACAAAAAGATAATATTGACCTTTTACATGTTTCAATATCTGATCGGCGCACATATTAGAACATGTCAATTGCAAGACATCTACCTTTTTTTTTTTTTTTTTTTTTTGATAAAAGCAGTAGCCCATACAAATTTTAATGAAACGCGCATCGTATTCTGCTTTTAGGAAACACTTTAATAATAAGAGGGTTTTTTTGTTTTTTGAGGCCAGTACGTCATGAAACAGCTAGCAGATAACCGCTGTTGAAGGAACTTTAATCATCCATTTGCTTATTAATTTATAACCTGATAGCTCGAACCTGGAGCTCTACGAACATTTTGTGGAAAAGGTTATCCATATGAAATATATTTACTCTTGTGGCGCTAGTTTTTTTTTTTTTTTTTTTCATTTACACGTAGTCTGTTGGAACATCAGTGTGAAAGTTATTGCGAGAGGGGCTGACAGTAAACACCGCATCCGTAATATACCCGTGTGAGACAAGCACTGTTTCAAGAGGCCCACTTCTCCGGCTAAGCAATTTTTTTTATTGAATATGAATCCAAAATACGTTATACAACATTAGTGTCCATCTGTTTTCTAGTATGAAGTACACTTGACCTCGGCACGAAGGTCGCAAGTCCCAAATAGACAGTCATCCTTGTTAGACAAAAGGACAACAACTATACACAACAAATTGTATTTGTTGTTGACTGAAAACAGTACTGTGTCAAGCCTTCGTTAGATACGTACAAACCACTCCGATTCGCTGATGATAGTCGTAATCCGTCGAATTGCTATTACCAAAAAGTTGAGTTAACACTAATTTGTTCACCTTCGACTTCATATTGTCACACCATCACTCGCTAACAATGGGAGTCAAAATCATAAGCAATAAATATATGAAGCACTTGATCCTCGAATCCTTCAATGAATTACTTAACTCCAAAGATCGCTCACTAATAAAACACCACCATCGATAGCACAGCGATAGAGGTTGTCCTTTATGTTACGCGCACATCGTTTTTTTTTTCTTAGTATATTAACCGTGAGAAAACGATACAATGTCCAGCAGTAACTGAAATCAGATAGTTGTTGGTGTTGTGTATTTGAAAGGAAAGCAACGCATCTGTCGATGACGGTTAGTGCACAGCTTTTATTCCGTTCATTTTTTTCGATCTGCTCGAAACAACCAGCTATCCAGTAGTCGATCAATCAATCAATCGACCACTTGTAGCCACATAATTCTTGCTGAGGTTGGACAAAACGGACTTCTACGCCTCTATATGCTGATCAATGTTCAGACATATTGAATGTGCTATGTATATTTGTCCGCGTACGAGTAATGAGCGGGTAGAAAGCTAGAAACCCAGAGTTCGCGTAGTCGGAATTACGTAAGTGATAACCCATCAAGCATGATGGCTATGGTGATTGTTTGCTTAACTGGCCGGGCTGTTCGCTAGATAGCGTCGTTCGGCTTGCCTGGGTTACGGAGGTTGCGCGCTCTGTAGCCGGCGACGATTTCGAGCTGCTGCTGATGTGAACTAGGGGCATCGCGCGCGTTGCCCTCTCCCTGCCCGGGAAGAGACGTCCCTTCCCAGTCGAGGAGAGAGTGCGGCGCCATCACCCGGGAAGGCCGTTCCAGACCAAATCAAACCGAACACCAGGCACGAGCCGATTCTACCCGGCAGCATCAGGTGCAAAGAACAGAGCGCGAAAGCTTGCGTGCCATCGCCATCCGCCTGCTTCAGTACACGATTGATACATATCTGCGTATAACCAGCCGTGGGCTCCGAAACTAATACGCATATGTGGAAACGGTCGGGTATACAAAAGTAGTGGAAGATTCGCTTCTGTTCACTGTTGAAGAGATTTCTTCTTTAGCATTTTCGTTTCGATGCCCCAGATACAAATGCAAGTGAAAAAAAAAAGCCTGTTTAAATTTTACCGCCAGTGAACCCGCTTGACACGATCTAGCCCTCGTAGTGATGCGATTAGAAATGTTTTTATAGAAAATACAACTGATACACCCAAATATTCGTCCGACGACCCTTTTGACCAGTCTTTGAATTAACTATCAATTTCGGATTATCACTTTCTTAAAATACGCAAATGTTGGTGCGTTAAAGATCTATACACATTATACGTGTATATACTGATATGCACGTTTACTAAGCAGAAAGAGCGTAGATCTTTGTAATCTAGTATCCTAGGAATGACCCACAATGGTTGGCACACAGTGTTTTGGGTTTTGACTTTTGTTTGTTGCAAAGGGGAGTTCATGAATGTTTCGTTACTGCCGCTATTTGTTGCTTCACAGAGTTGGCTTCTAACACAAAGCGAAGGCCATCCATCTTCGCGCCTAGACCATTTTAGGATGCGTCCCTGTGTTTTTCAGTAAACAAAAAGTTCACCACCACACTATAATGTGAGTAGTTAATGTCATAATCTCACTCTCGAGGTAGTTGCGGCCGGTGTTCAATCGAAGTACGTAGACTGAGAACATACTCCGAAGTCATCGTTCGGAAGCCGTCAGTGATCGTACATATTCTAAACATTTAACCAACAGAATTTGTTTGCAGACATGATAAATCGTAGCAGTGATCCCTTACAGCCTGATATTACAGCCAGTTAGCGCGTTGGGTCGTTACTCTCAGCCCGCTGTTCTCGTTATCCTCCGACCTCTTCTTAATATATGATTATTAGTTATATTCAAGCGAATTTTAATAAGTAAAAAAATAGACAGGAATGGGCGCATTAGACACCGAACCCCGTGCTACGACGAAATAGCTTGTACTATCATACAAAATAAAATAATGTCGAACGACAGATACGTTCGATGAACGAGCCGAGTCATGAATTCCTTAAAAAAAATTCTGAAATGAAAGTGAAACAGTGTGAGAAATTCGTGGAGCTTAAAACCACAAAAGCATTGATTCATATTTAAATGACGTACCCGAATAGCTGGTTCGAACTAGAGTGTTTTCCTTGAATTGATTTATAACAATGGACGGAGAGTGCTTCTGTTACTCATAATCACTGCAATCTGCACTATTTCCATTTAGAATCTCTGTGACTCGCTCAAAATTCAAGCAATGGATCACCTTCGAAGTAATAATGGGTTCAATGTTGGTGTACAATTTAAAGCTACGCTATCATGTGCCACTGCTGCGTGTCAGAGTGAGTCGCCAGTCTGTGTTGGCCTTAAATAGATACCGATCACTCTATGAAGGTAAATTGTTTTCTAGTAATTGTACGCTATAAAATAGTTTTTTTTTTCTGCTTATTTGGGCGGCACGCCAATCTGTAAAATTGTTTTCTCGGGTTTCTAACGTTGGTACCTGTAGCTGGTTTGGGCGTTATGTACCGAAGAGGACGTCAGAACAAACGTTTGCTTTTTTTATCCTAGTTTCAGCGGTTACCTTCAAACAATAGTAAAAAGGTGCTGATATCGCCAACGACACCGCAGACGTCTATTCATGTTAGCATGCATCGTCCTATGTCCTATCGTGCGCCAACAAGCGTCGCTGTCTGTGTTTCATTCGTTGCCGCCGTATGTATCTGAGCGGCCGTTAACGATGCTAGTACGGAACGATCAGCTCTTTCTTCATCTCTTTCTAAATGAATGACCCATCTATTCTGCATGGAACTTGTTGGTCGCAAAGTTTGCCTGTGGCATTCACTTATGACGATGACTGCAATACGTCTTGTTATGTTCTTACTTGGATGCATATGTGTGTGCGTATATCTCTCTCAATGAGAGCGGCTTGGGCTTGTCGTATCACTTGCTTAATGAAACGACTCACTGCGGTCTGGACTGGGCCCCACCCACGCGTGTTCACGTTGCAGAAGCGCCCGAAAGACCAGTCGATAGAAGTAAACCATTATACGCTACAGAAAAATGCCATCAGCAAGCTATCGAAACAAAAAAAAAACATTAGACGTCTTTTTACGTCGGAATATTCCTACGCGTCAACACAACTCGTACAACATTGCGCTTCTACGTACTAGCCAGCGTCGCAAGCACCGCCGACTCTTAGGGACGGCACCACATGTGAACGAAGGACCTTATCCTGCAAGCGCATCGCGTATAATAGTACGCGTACGGCGAATAGAATGTATCCAATATTTTAATTGCGTATACTGTTCGAGTCACAGCGTCTATAGTCTACCGATTCAGAACAAGACTGCATGATCGCTGTTTGGCGTATGTGGAGACAAACGTTATCGTATTGGACTGTAACAGCCACGCTTGTACCCGTGGTCTCAAATGGGCGCTTATAGCAAAACGACGAATGACGCTCCAGGCTCGTATGAGGCTGGAGCAGTGGAGCAATGTCTAAAGCCAGTATCTTTGACATCGCGCTTGAAGATGTGCATCACGGCAAGAACCAGGGAAGGACGAAAGACTGACAAGGCAGCTGGAAGGTGATTTGTCCTGATGTTTCCAACAACGATGAAGCACACGTTTCCCGAAGAGTCTGACAGTACACCGCGAGGTTATCAACTTCCATTCTAGATGACCTGGAAGGCCTTCCAACGTCGTTACTTGAATCTCTCGATTTGTCGAACAAAACATGTTTCTAGCTTACTTAGCCGACTGCATCTTCGGCAGTTTTGTCGATAAACCCGTAAGTGGGTCGGTCTCAACTATTTTATACATGATTGCTAAGATACTAATAACGATTTAAGACAGCAGAAGCTAATTCAATGTACGTCAATGTTTTTTTCTTCAACATATGTAATCTTAGTAAAACGATAGAGTGATCTTGATAATGCTTTATCTTAGCTTGCTAATAAACTAGCTAAATATCTTATAGGTGTTCTCTATAGTTTTCAGATTTTTTATTTTTCTCAAATGGTAGGGTAAGCTTCGTTAACCTTGATTTCCAAACTTAAAATAGCGTTAAAACTCTCCGGCTGTATAAGTCGGTTTCGCGTGTGTGTATATTGTGTGTGTATTGACCTATTCGTGCTTCACTTGGACGAGCTTCTACTTGTTGAAATGTGTCCTAGAAGTTGCTGAGAATTTATGGCGACATGTTTCAATGGGCAAATATTATAATCGGATTGCCCTTCCAGTCACCTACTGACCGAAAAATTTTTAACGCTTTCCTATATATCTCTTGCTGCTAGTTAAAGCAGGAATTGAATACGAGACGTAGATATAAAGATAGAATTCTAAATTGTTCAGAGGGCTTTGCATGATCACCATTCGTGTAAACCGGTTTACGATGTGCGTTCACGTACCCGCTATTAATTGTGAAGGGCGATGCTTTGCTTAAGGGCACATCCTAATTCATTTTGAGTCCAGGAATGATGCTTAATGGGCATTTGGTGCCAATGTAACTTATTGTATAGTATAAAGTTAATTTTCTAATGACGTTACGGCGAGCACCATATCTGCGTAGAGGTACTGTGCTGGCGAAAGCTTTATTACAAAAAGAAAAGGAAACCGATCGTTAGCTGATTGCCTCGGGATCGTTAATGCTCTGAGTCAGCGAAGCACAACGTTGCGCAAGGGGACGGCAATGAATTTCGCTTTAAAAAACCCATCAGTTTCATTTTGAGTAGCAGTAATAAATTGTTTTGCGGATTCGTATGGAATACTCTACTAGCAGAGAAATATATAAAGCTGTACAGTACGTAACATCTTGCGTTTAATAACCATCTAATGACAGGATAAAAATCTGTATAATTAAAGCAGTAAGTCGATGCATCATGTTGTTAATCGTCGTGCGTTTCTATTCAGCACATGCGCACACGAAAAAAAAATTAAATACTTAATTAAAAAAAAATAGAATATAAACTTCTTTCCAAAGTTAGCTAATTGACTTAATGTAATTATTTAATATTACGTTCGTTTTCGGCTACGTTCTTCATAAAATCCTGCAGAACCCATTCTGTCACCCGATCATAGTGCTAACTTTCCTTAGTTAAGTTCTATTATTTATTAGCAATAGTTGGAGTTACGCTGTCCCTCCCAGCGGTCTCGCTACGAAACTGTTCGTGTTACATCCGAATCGTACCACACGTTATCACTCGGTTGGCTGAAGTTTATAGATTTACTCGCCATATTGGCGCAATTGTTCTATAACCGTAATTGTTTACCCTGGTGGAATGGATGTTCCAGTAATCCCTTCGACAATCAATTTTATTCCGACTTTCTCGATTCATCGTTGCCTCATTTTCCCATTTTAATTCTTATCATTATCATCATCTAGTGAAAGTTTACACACAGTCGAGCAATATGGACCATATTCCAAGGTGGTTCATTAACAGTCTCGCAGATCAACCAACAAGTAGCCTCATCTTCTTATGTCAAAGAGAGAAGTAGCCACGCGGGATAAAAATATTCATCCTATCAGAGGATACGAGTTATACGCCTAGAAGATAGTTCATATTTATCGATTATGAGCTATTTCGGTGTAAATTACCTAAATTTGAAAAAAAATAAATAAATAAATAAATAAAAAGTCGACATTTT